ATATTACAAGGTGAAATATTCATAACCAAAAACTAAATATGTGGGAGGTCAACGAATAAGGCGATCCACTTTCTCAGACACCTTTGCCTTACCTCCTCATGTGTCTTACCTCCTAGGATGATTTAGAGAACCTAGAATTGTTTGTGAACGGTTGGTTAATGGTTAGAAGTTAGTAGAATTCACCAAGTTAGGTTCTGTTTGATAGTTTCTGTCTGGGAAAGTGTTGTCTGAGAAAGTTTTCTGACTGGGAAACAAACCATGTTGTTTGATTGTACATCTGATTGACTGTGCTGAATGATGAAAAAAAGTAATAATTCAATAAAAAATAAATTTTAAAAAAGTTATTTAAAAAAATTAATAATCCAATAAAGAAAGAAAGAGGCGGGGTTTGGTGTATAATTGTATTTCCAGCCCATTCAGCTAGAAAGATATGATTTTGGGGCTTTCTGGGAAAGACATATCTTACCGGGAAAGACCCCTTCTTTTATGCAAATCAAACAGTCTTTCCGGTCCATTCAGCCAGAAAGATCTGTTTGGACCTACAAATATGCGTATCAAACGGGGCCTTAGTAGAATTCGTCAACTACCAAGTGGACTAGTCCCACATTGGCAAGATTTATATGATGAGATGATTTAGATGATTTGGATGATTTGGAGGAACCTTGTGCTATGGAGATATGTTGGGCTATCCACAATATGTATTGACGTTCATAGACTTGTGTCCGAATGACAGTGGGTGATTGAGAGTCTTTCCTAGTGGAAAAAAAGGATCCACCATGGATCTTCCATACATTTTTGTTGACTATCAATAGGGTTTCTCATGACATCTTGAGATTAGTGACAGGACTAAATGCTCGGTTGGATATTAAGAGGAAAACTTTGAAGAAAAAAAGTTATAGATTAATACCAACAAGATGAAATATATTTGTTGCAATTTTACCAAAGAGTGTGAGCGTAATAGCGAGAGACTACAAGTCTTCTTTGAGGCTCAAGTAATACACTCAAAGAGATTTTCTAAGTACTTGGGGTGTATAATCCACAAGAAATGGGATTTATAGGACGATGTTACACACCACATAAATATGAGATGGTTAAAGTGGAGGTTGCCACATGAGTTTGTTGAAATTGAAGGGAAAGTTGTATGAGGTTGCATCAACAGCTAGCTATGTTATAGGGATCAATATGTTAGCCAAGAAAAAAGATGCATGACAAGAAGTAGGAAGTTGTGGAATGAGGATGCTACAATGGAACAACAATAGAATTATATTAGACATGATACGATATCAAAAATATGTTGGAAATGAAACCTATCATTGAAAAATTAGGGAAATGAAGATTAATGTGGTTCATGCATGTGTAGAGGAGGAGGCAACTGACAACTATGGTAAAGAGGGTGAAGACTTTCATCGTCATTTCGGAGAGGAGGAGTGTGACCGAGGAGGAGGTGTGAAGATAACTTAAGATTAGACATGAAAGCAGGGCCGGCCCATGGGGAGTTCACAAAGTGCCCATGAACAGGGCCCAAAACAATCCTAGGGCCCATTTTTTTTGGCACTTATAGCCTATGTTCGGTTACTGGCCCAAAAAGATTAGGTTAATCTTTTCATCAAATCATGTATCAGGCGACGCAAGAAGGAGCGGGAAACTCAAAATTTTCGGGAAAGAAACAAACACAACGCTTCGCTTTCTTATTCACTGATAAACGCTTCGATTTCTTCTTCACTGATAACGCTTACAAGCATGGGGCATGAATTAAAATTTTCTCTAATCCTTGACAGGCAACAGTAACGTTATTCTTGTTTGTTTTTTTTTTCTAAAGCATCAGTTTCAATTTCAGATGCAATCAACAATCTTACTTTTTTTTTCTTCTCAAAATTCTGAAGGAACAATTTTAGTTTACAAACATAGGTAATTAGCAATATTAGTTTATTTGAGTTCTTACAAAGTTTACAATCGTTCTTCACTTCCTGTTTCTTCTGGAAAATCAGAATTTTAGAAGCTTCAAATTTCTTACTTGCTTGAGGTTTAGAAATTAGAATGTAAGATTAAGGTATTTCTGTTTTTATATGTCTTTACCTCTTTTTTTTCTTCTTTATTTCTAATTTCTAATATTTTTGGAAGGTAGACTACACTCTAATCAGTAATTTGTTTCCAAAATCGGAGGAACAAGGATATCTGCTTCGAAAATCAGAACTCGGAAGGAACAAGAAATTAAGGTAATCAATTTCTGAATTTTGAAAGTACAAGCAAATCAATTTATGTTTTTTAGCTTTGATAAGTTTTTGATGTGTAAGAAGTAACTCAGTTTGTTTTTTTCTTTCTTTTTGACTTAGTGAATATCAATCCAACTTTGTGGTGTAGAAGTTTTTGATTTCAATTTTTTTTGAAATTTAGAAAATCAAAAGGTATTTTTCTGTTTTTGGATTTCTTTATAAGCAGATCATTGTTCCTTTTTTTTATAATGAAATGTATAATTCTTATTTGAATTTCGATTTTTTTGTACAGTTTTGATACCCTTTCTTGTTGAAAGGTCTGAAAATCAGAAGAGAAATGTAATTTTATGATTTCTGGACTTTTTTTTTTATTAAAAGCAGATCATTATTCTTTTTTCTTGATAATGAAATATATCTTACTGTTATGATTTTTGATTTTTTTTATACAGTTTTGATGCCCTTTACTACTTGAGTTTCAAAATATAGAACCAAGAAGTAATCTACAACTAGTAACAAAGATATTGTTGAAAAGTTTATTTCAACGAATACTAGGAGGATTGTTGTTTTCATGTTGAAGCAAATTTATTTTTTGTTTATTATTTTGAATGAAATTTTAATTTTATATATTTTGCAATAAAATTGAAATTTTTATTTTTTGCATAAATTTGTTGATCTTTTAATTTTTAAGGCTTATTTTTTTGTTAATTGCACAGGCCCTCTGAAATCTCGTGGCCGGCCCTGCACGAAAGAGTTGGACATTTTTCGGAAAAAATTAACCTTACATATGAAGTAGTAAAGGCTTAAAATTATAACGGTCGAGTAGCATAGATCTTAGTTTCCATATTTTAGTATTTTATCTTTTTGAATTTATCATTATGATATTTATTGTCACTTCACAAAAGATAACTTTAGCTATGAAGGAGTGAAGGGTTAAAATTATGATTGTTGAGTAGTTTCCCTACTTTATCTTTTTGAGCTTATTAATATATTTTTGATTGTCTTATTTATTCTATTTTTGATATTCATATCTGTTGTTTGTATCATTTTATTAAACCAACCCCCAACCCACACTCTCAACTTTTCTTATTCACTATATTTTGGTTCCTTCTTCATGTCATGTTAGTGATCTTCTTTGAAATCATTCTATCTAGCCTTGGGTAATTGTTACATCTAATATCCTCATCGCCTTGTTGTATATAAGATTTGAATATTGTTGTTGATGCATCTTTGTTTTCCAAAAACAGCTGAGCTATGGCCTATGTCATGGTGCAAGATTATATTTATATTTTATTACCTTTTCTAGTGAGACTAGCTTTCAACCGCTTCAACACACTTAGGGTGCGTTTGGTTGGCAGGAAAGGAATGGAATTCGAGGGAAAAAGGATTCTAATTCCCTCGAATTCATGTGTTTGGTTGGACTTAGAGGAGGGAAAAAGATTCCTAAATGAAATAAACTTTCCACCATATGGAGGAAAGTGAATTCCTTCCAAAGTTGGATGGAAAACATTCCTTCTCATGAAGGAAAGTGACAGATTACAAAAATACCCCTTGTATTTATCAAAAAACCCACCACCACTACCGCCACCACCACCACTATCACTGACAACCACCACCGCCGCTACCACCACCACCATCAGTCCACCACCGCCGCCACCACCACCGCCACCGCCGCCACCAGTCCACCACCGTCGCCGCCACCACCACCACCGCCGCCACCACCACCGCCGCCACCACCACCACCGTTGCCGCCCAACCGACCACTGACCACCACCACCACCACTGTCGCTGCCGCCATAGCCACTACCACCGCCTACGTTGCAACGACCGCCGCCACCACCACTACCACCGCCATGACCACCACCCACCACTACCACCGCCGCCACCACCACCCACCATCACCGTCGCCGCCATCACCCACCGTCACTGCCTCTGACGCCACCACCACTACCATCGTCGTCATTACCACCGTCGCCGCCGCCACCGACCACAATCACCACCACCGCCACCATTGCCGCCACCACCACCATTACCATTACCCACCACCACTACTAATGCCATCACCCACCACCACCGCCGCCACCATCACCACCACCAATAACACTACCACCACCACTACCAACGCTGCCACCATCGCTGCTACAACCATCCTCACCAGCCGCCACTGCCACCACCAGTACATCACCGACGTCGTTGTCGCCACCAGCTGCCACTGCCACCATCACCACCACTTCCGCTACTACAATCAACGCCACCGCCACCATCACCGCCGAAATTTTACTGTTTTTATAATTTTCATAATGTATCTTTACATATAAGTTAGAAAACAAGGTAAAATTAAGCAAAACATGCAAAAAAGGTAATTATGTCATTTTACATGAATTCCAATTCCATTTCCTGCGAACCAAACAGAATTTGGAATTAATTCCAATTCCATTTCCTGCCAACCAAACAGCATATGGAATTGGATTCAAATTCCTGACAGATTCCTTTTTCCAATTCCAATTCAAATTCCTTCGGTAACATTCTGCGAACCAAACAGCACCTTATTATACATACGATTATTATAGATTATTATACATACGAAGATTAAAAAGATCCTGAAGTTTGTATGTTTCGACCAAAAGTTTACAAAGCTGGGTTGTTGATGAACGAAAAAATCACAAACTATAAACTATGATCAACATCTTTTACAATTGCAATGATGGTTTTGAAACACATTATAAAGATCTAATTTAACCTTTCCATATCTATAAATACGCCTTTCCACAGTTAAAATTTCATATGAAAATGAAGACATCTTTCTTCACCATTGCTCTTCTCTCCCTCTTCCTTTCCCTTTACCCTTCTCTCTCCCAACGCTGCAACAAAAAAGACGAAAAAATCCTTCTCAGAATCAAAAAATCATTTGGAAATCCCGATGTCTTAACAACTTGGACCAAAGAAATCGACTGTTGTTCATGGTACTCTGTGCAATGTGACGAGTACACCGATCGTATCAGTGCACTCACCATCTTCTCCGGCAACATCTCCGGTCGAATCACAGAGGCCATCGGCAACCTCCCTTACCTCGAAACCCTAATTTTGCGGAAGCTCACAAATCTCACCGGCCAAATTCCGTCTTCAATTGCCAAACTCACTAAACTCAAAACTCTCACCATTAGCTATACAAATATCTCCGGCCCCATCCCTTCTTTCCTCAGTCAAATCAAAAGCTTAGCGACACTGGATTTGTCGTACAATGGTTTCACCGGAACAATCCCGCCGGAGCTCTCTTTGCTGCCAAAACTCCGAACACTTCGCCTGGACAGGAATAGACTAACCGGAAAATTTCCTGAGTCGTTTGGGAATTTCACCGGAAGGCTTCCGGCGATTTATCTGTCTCATAACCTACTGAATGGAAGTGTACCCCAGTCAATGGCTCAGGTGAACTTCACGGCGTTAGATTTGTCCAGAAACAGGCTCATGGGAGACTTGTCGGTGTTTTTTGGGATGAATAAGACGATTAAAGCTGCTAATTTTTCGAGGAACTTGTTTGAGTTTAACTTCTCGAATTTGAATCAGTTTCCGGAGAGCTTGTCGGTGTTAGATTTGAATCATAACAGGATATATGGGAGTTTGCCGGCGACGTTGACAGGACTAAAATTGCAGACGTGGAACGTGAGTTTCAATAGACTGTGTGGTGAAATTCCGACCGGCGGAAGTTTGCAGAAGTACGATAGCTCGGCGTATTTTCATAACCAGTGCCTGTGTGGGTCTCCATTGCCTGCATGCTAATAAAATTCAAGAATATCTTCATGGCTTCTAGAAGCTTTTATATATTTCTATTTTATAGTTGTAAAGTTGCTTTGAGAAGTTAATAAAAATATGTTCAAAATTTATAGTTATTGACTTTTTCATTAGGGAATCCATATTGCTCGAATAAACCGTAAATCGTTATCAAAATCATTTTATTTTATTTGTTGATCATTTAAAATAATTTTTTTTTTACCGGTATTTGTGACATTAGAAAAACTCAACATATTATGATATTATGATGCGTGAAAAAACTATTGTATTATTTTTTGTATTAAAAAACCATTTTATTTTCTGATTTTATATAATAAAACATTTTTATGTATTGATTTTGTACAAAAAAAAAACCTTAAATTCCCCCTTTTTGTTTTTGTATTATTCTCTTGAGAAATGATAATTGATAAATATCTCATTCATTCCATAAAAAGAGATGGTATAAGTGTATAATTTTTTCATTGTTTTTCTGTTATCACTTTCTTTTTCTTTTTGATAGACTATTTGGTTGCTCAAAATTTATGAATATTATCGTATGGTTAGCAACTGTCCAATAAGAGAAGTTTTCGAGAAGAAAAATACAGTTTGTTTCCTTGATTCTTAATTTTGCTATGTTGTATCTATCTTCATATATGGAATCAATGATATATTTACCAATTATCTTGAGATCAAGGGTTTCATTGGTAATCCCTCTCCTAAAATATATTCACTTCGTTCCTTGGTCGTTTTCTCTTCTCCCTTCTTGAGACCCTTTTTGTTATAATCTCAATTTATCCACTACTATGAGTTTGTTATGATTGACCCTCATGAGGTACACTTTCCTTCCATAATACACATCTTGGTTAGCTATAATGTGCTCTTGATCATGGTCTTCAGCTTCATATATCGTCCTCGAAAAGTCTTACTACTTATTTTGATGTCGATTGAGGGGTTGCCTAATAACTCGTCGTCTCACATCCGGGAACTTTATCTTTCTGGATGACAACCACAACTCTTGACCATCTAAGTGTGTGTATTATTTCTCCTTCCAATGTCAAAGTTAAATAGATAGGGTGGTAATAGGGTGGTAATGTAGTCATCAGAACATCTTGGATTTGCAATCTCATTCGCGAACTCCATTGCCTTAACACCAAGGTCATCATTTTCCATTGTAACAACTTCAATTTTCAAGTTTCATTTGCCCATTATAGGTTATTGTTGGGGCCATTATCTGTTATATTGCAACCTTCTTGTTCCTTTTTGTTGTACTTGTTTTATTGCACTCATGCACGTACTCCTCTTTTATTGGTGTCATTGCAAAACTTTGTTTCGCATTGCGAAGACCATTTATTGAAACAGTCGTCTATCCACATGTAAACTACCAACTTCGATCTCCCAATACCCTGTTAAGATTTATGGAGTCTTGAACAAATTGACAAGTTCCTAAGAGTTCAAGGGCCATAAATGAAACTTGGAAATTAAAACAATTGAATATTGAAATGGACGCACTATCAATTGTTTAATAATATTGTTGGACGGTGGCTATCAATTAAACAATTGTTTAATATTTCTTTGACTATGCATACTTTCGGTAATGAACGGCCGCAATATTATATTCACAATATGTGAATTGAAGAAAAGTTTACGGCACATCTCAATATATATATGTGCAATGTAACTCTTTGTATGTGTGCATCAAATATAACTTATAGAGTTATAAATTGTAATCTTATTGAGTTAATAAGAAAATTTAGTTGCAGCCCGTGGACGTAGGATTTACACCGAATCCGAACCACGTAAAATCCTTGTGTTCTTTATTGCTTTATTTTCTCGTTTCGTTTGTGTGTGTGTGATAGTGTTTCCGCTGCGTGTACCCTGTCTCAATTCCTTACAATTGGTATCAGAGCCTGGTTAGCGAGGTTATGGAGGGTACGATCGTTTTTTTTTATCACGCACGAGTGTACCTGATTTGTATCTTGTTTGTCGTAATGGCTGAAGACAAGATTATAATCGAAAGGTTCAATGGTTCTGATTTTAGTTGGTGGAAAATGCAATTAGAAGCATTGCTATGTCAGAAAGACTTGGACATGGTACTCGGAGACAAACCGGAGAAAATGGAAAAAGCTGCTGAAGATGCGTGGAACTCAAAGGACAAGAAAGCCAAGGCGGTTATTACATTGTCGTTGACGAAGAGCGTTGCTTTCAACATCATGAATGAAACCACGGCGCGTGGTATGATGGAGGCTCTGTCAAATATGTATGAGAAACCATCGGCGGCTAACAAGGTGTTCTTGATGAAGGAGCTGTTCACTACAAGGATGAATGAGGAAGACTCAGTTACGGTTCACATTAACAATCTAAATTCAATTCTGTCCAGATTATCATCTGTGGGAATTAAATTTGATAATGAGACTCAAGCTTCGCTGCTACTAGCTTCTCTACCTGATAGCTGGTCCGGAACAGTTGCTGCTATTACAAGTTCCGTGGGGACCAGTGGTATGACTTTTGAAGGGGTTAGAGATTTGGTTCTAGGCGAGGATATCAGACGCAAGAATCAAGGTGGATCTTCCTCTTCTGATTTATTAAATGTCGGAAGAGGTAGAGGGAATAGCAGGAATAGTGGGAGCAGTGGGAGTCGGGGAAAAAGTTCTTCTAGAACTTTGAAGAATGTGAAATGCTGGAACTGTCAAGAAGTGGGACATGTTAAGAGTCAATGTCCAAAGAAAGAATTGAACATTGCTGGTGCTGAGAGTATGTCTGAGGATGATGCATTGATACTCAGTATGGAAAGTTCTGTAGACTCTTGGGTCATGGATTCAGGGGCTTCGTTTCACGCCATGGACAACGGGGAAACGATGGTGAATCTAAAAGAAGGAGATTTTGGAAAGGTACGGTTAGCAAATGACGAGATGCTTCAAGTAGCGGGCATGGGAGATATTGATTTGGTTACTTCATTGGGAACTACATGGAGCCTGAAGGATGTCAGGGTGATTCCGGAGCTGAAGAAGAAATTGATTTCTGTTGGTCAGCTGGATAAACAAGGACTGGAAGTAAGGTTTGGTGGTGGTAAATGGATGGTGGTCAATGGTAATTCGGTGATTGCTCAAGGTTTGAAGTGTGGGTCATTGTATATGGTTGAGGTACCTGCTGAGGGAAGTATGACCATCCCGATTAAGCAAAACAAAATCTGGTTCGCTAAATCTACTGCTAAGAGAGTTCATTTTGCAAACATGAATTCTGGAGCCAAGGGGATGTTAGCTGAACGAGTCGGAAATTCTAAACCATTCAGGGGATTATGTGACAGTGGGAGCACGGGGTGTGTCCCGGGTACAGTTACAAAGAGCCGTTGGGTTTTGAAGACTAAGACTGGAAAATTCTCTCTTGTTGGAAGTTTGCAAAGTTTGGAGAGTGTTAGTGGTCCTCGGTGTATCTCTGGATCTGGTGGAGTGTCCAAACCGGTTGAGACAGAGGATGAGTCGGTGGTGGGATTAGCCACGACTAAGTTGGAGCTAGTGGGAGCTTCAACTGGCCCTTCTAGTACTTGAAGATGAGGGGCGGCTGCAATTAGAGAAATCAGACTAAGTTTTAGCTTGTTCTTTGAAACTGGAAGCTTGAAGGACTTGGTTGTTTTTTAAGATTACTGGAGTAATTGAGAGTTGAATGGCGGAGAAAGACTAATTTGTTCAAGTCTCCAAGTGGGAGATTGTTAAGATTTATGGAGTCTTGAACAAATTGACAAGTTCCTAAGAGTTTAAGGGCCATAAATGAAACTTGAAAATTAAAACAATTGAATATTGAATTGGACGCACTATCAATTGTTTAATAATATTGTTGGACGGTGGCTATCAATTAAACAATTGTTTAATATTTCTTTGACTATGCATACTTTCGGTAATGAACGGCCGCAATATTATATTCACAATATGTGAATTGAAGAAAAGTTTACGGCACATCTCAATATATATATGTGCAATGTAACTCTTTGTATGTGTGCATCAAATATAATTTGTAGAGTTATAAATTGTAATCTTATTGAGTTAATAAGAAAATTTAGTTGCAGCCCGTGGACGTAGGATTTACACCGAATCCGAACCACGTAAAATCTTTGTGTTCTTTATTGCTTTATTTTCTCGTTTCGTTTGTGTGTGTGTGTGATAGTGTTTCCGCTGCGTGTACCATGTCTCAATTCCTTACATACCCAGTTATATAGGATTTCGGGTTTGATGTGATATTGATTTAAAAAAAATGTAAAATAGACTCATTTTATTAGAATGTGTGATGCTAAGCAAAAATAAATAAATAAATAAAAATAAATAAATGAACTGAATTCACTCACTTTTTGGTATTTACATTTTCATAATTTCATTGCATATTACCTTGCATCCTTGTAAATAGTAAATATTTATTTTTGCATCTTTTTAACAATAGGTAACCAAATCGTTAAAGTATGTGGGACCCGAACCTAAAACAATTCATTTTGAATACTTATAATTCTCTAGCAATCAATCGACACTATCTCACCCCAAGATTAAAACACGTAAGATTCAAACGTGACAACTTTTTAGACAACTCGTTTTGTGTGTCAACATAACAAAGATTACATACAAACTAAAATCCAAATATGATATAATTATAGAATCAGTAACACGGTGCATATTTTTTTAGTTTTCCTTTCACGATTCAAGTTAATCCAGCAGTTAGTGGAGGACAAAAGTTTGTGAGTACAAATGACTCACATAGAGGATCTTTTTGTTATCTAAAAGTTAATGATTACTTTTGTTATGTAAAATTTAATGATGATTATTATTTTTAAAAAGTTAAACTAACCTACTCCTAATTACTACATATGTTTCCTAATTTGAACCCATGACCTCTCATTTGAGAGAGTCACTTTTTTCCGCTAGGCCAAAAACCCTTTGATATTTAATAATTACTTTGGTGTATATTTTATATTGTTATGTTATTAAGTATGAATTTGATTATTTATTTCGTACTCCCAATCTAATTTT